GCGGTCCTGGCTAGCGGCCGGCCTGGCTGGCCCAGCCCTGACCGTCACAGCCGTCCAAGGAGCGAACCAGCAGAGGGAAGAGTTCTCTCCCCGTGTGATAAAGAAATCTTAGCAGGAGAGAGAGAAGGGTGGAGGGGCTCGGTCCTTGGCGTTCTGATGGGGATACAGCTTCCCGTGAAGTCCTTCAGCCCGCAGTGCTGCGCCCTCCTGACTCTGGCTGCAGGAGTGAGCTCCCAGGCCCGGGCTGCTGATTTCTAGTGTCACCCGCTGTGGCCATGGCCAGGGCTGCCCCGGGTTGAGGGGTCCTGTTCTCGGGGTCACTTCGGTCGGGGGACTGAGGCGCCCAAGCAGTGAGAACCTGCGGCCCCTATGCACCCCCTATGCACCCCCTATGGAGGACAGGCCCAAGCACCCCAGTTCCCCCTGACGTGTCTGGCAGTGTGGGTCATTCACCAGCAGAGGGCGCTCGCTGAGCACAGACCTCAGTGACCTGGCTTCTAGTGACCTTTCTGCGGTTTCTGATTTGTTTCTGTGAAAGGCAGAGTGACTGAGACAGGTAGAGATCTTCCGCCCACCAGATTGCTCCCCAAATGGCTAAAACAGCTTCACTGGGTCTGGCTGAAGCAAGGAGCCTGGTACTCGTCACATGTCCCCATGCCATTGGCTGCTTCTGACGTGTGTTGTGAGGTGGCTGGGACGCAGAGCAAGCTGGACTCGGCGTTCCCAGAGGGGAGCCGGCAACACATCTGTGGCTTAGCCCGCCATGCCACTCTGCTGGCCCCGCCAGCTCCCTTGCAGGCTTGCAGGTAGAGACTGGGGGCAGAGCCTGTAAGGCCCCCACCACCCTGTGTTCTCTGTGGACCCTTGCTATTCCTGGGAATTGGTCCCAGGTATGCAGCCCTGCGGGGTGTGGAGAGCAGAATGGGGCATCCTGGGGCAGTGTGAGCCAGCAAGGGAGGGGGTGGCCCTGCTCTTGGGCCGGTTTCAGAGGTGGGGGCCGACATCGTGGTGGACCCAAGCTGTGCAGGAAGTAGGCGTGCAGTGGGCACTCCGGAGCCTATGGCTAAGGGATTGGGGGTCAGCGCTGGCGGACTGGGGGTCAGCGCCGGGCATCTCTGCCCGAGCCAAGGGAGTCATCTGGCTGAGCAATCCGGTCCTTGTCACGGGAGGGGATTGTCCCACATGGGGAGAGAAGCCTGTGCACCGTGCATGTTGCATCCCTCACATGGGACCGTCTGTCTCAGCAGCGCCGTTTGGGTCTTGGTCATCAGTGACCTGGCCTCATGGGATGAGTGTGTGTGGATGCGTGCTGCTCTAGCTCCAGCCCCCGTGCCCCCTGCATGCCAAGGAGCAACAGCACCCGTGAGCAGGCAGTGGTCATGTTGGGGACCTTGCTGGCCGCTGGGGTCTGACCCGGGGCTCTGTGGAGCCTGCAGTCAGGGCCTCATCATGGGTCAGATGGTGGCAGGGGTCATCTGACCAGGAAGACATCCAGGATCCTGGGGGAAATGCCACTGTCACAGGGATCAATTCTGGGTCCTTGGGGACAGAGGTGGGGGAGCAGAAGCCCAGGGCCCGGCTCGCTTGGCCACTTTGCATTGCGCTGCAGAGAGCAGACCCCTCAGGTGCCTCCCCCAGGACCCAGGGCTCCTCGCCTTATGCTAGTCCGGGGGACATCAGGGCCATGTGACCCCACAGCCCTTGCATAGGGGACTTTCCTCAGTGTCACCCAGCCTCCTAGCTGAGACCCACGACGCGCGTGGCTCCATGGGGACTGGCAGTGGTGGTGGCTGCTCTGCACAGTGAGACGCAAGGAGGCATTTATTGGGGATAGCGGACAGGCAGACGGCCGGGCAAGAGGCGGTACCACCCCATGACCGAAGGACAGCTCCACGGCCAGCTTGTCAGGAGGCGGGCCTGGCATCCACTGTGCCCACCTCCCTGTCTGCAGTGATGGGGTGGGTTCCAGGTACCCACTGTCTAGGCCAGGGCCAGCGTGGCCCCTCTCCCCGAGCCCCAGGCATCCCCCATCCCCGACGGGGCTGAGTTGCCTCAGGCGTGCCTGGGCCGCCCAGAGAACTGCTGTCGGCCAGGACATGTCTGTTGATGCTGGTCCTGTTCCTTCTGGGCTGGCTTCCTGTGGTGGGAGAAAGCAAAGCTGTGCAGCGGGGTTGGCGAGGCCTCTGCTGGGCCCGTCTGCGAGATGCTGGGGGTGACTGCATCCCCGTGTGGGAGGGGCAGGCATGTGCAGTGTGGCTGCATCGAAGAGGTGACAGTGCCTGCGTCCACCCCGAGTCCCGTGTTCATGGAGGCAGGTGCACCCTGGCAGGAGGTTCAGGGCCATGTGCGTAGATGGGGCTGGGCAGGGAGACATGGATGTGTCAGAGCTGCCCCTGCCCGGCTCCTGCAGGCCTCCTGCGTGGATCCGCCTCCTGAATTCTCCTTCCAGGGCCTGGTGAGGAAGCGTGGAAGCCTTCAGGGGTGCAGTCGGTGGGCAGTGGCGAGGGCTGCGCACTGGGGCCTCACTGGGATGTGCTGCCCGGCTCGAGGTCTTTGGTGCTCCTGGTTAGCAAGAAACACTGGTCACTGTAGGTCACGTGCTGGGTAGTCATGCTTGTGCTGTCGGCTCCTCCCCAACACAGCACCCCCACCCTCCTTCACCCGTGGTTGCAGGTGCTCAGGATCCCTGCCTTCCGACGGTTCTGGGGAGACACCCCCCAATTCTGCGCGGTCCCACTGCCTGTCCTGAACGTCACCAGGGCCATTCCTGCCAGGACTCCCATCCCTGCCCTTCCAAGGATCCGTCCTGCTACGAGAGCGCGCCCTCTGGCGGACACGTCAGGGCAGTGCGTGTGACTTTCCTCTTGAAAAGTCAGGGAGACAGAAACAGACTTGCCAGGAGCGGCTTCATCCCCTAAGGCTCACACATGCCCGGCCGGGCTAGGCCAGGCCAGAACGGGAGCCAGGAACTCCACCTGGGTCTCCCTGGGGTGCAGGGACCGTGCACTGGAGCCGCCGCCTCTGCTTGCCAGGCTGAGCCTGAGGAGGAAGCTGTGGCTCCCGGATGGGGGTGTCTGGGAGTGGGGGGCCCTCGGCGGCACGAGGGGCACAGCCGCAGAGGGAAAGGTTGAGCATTTCATGGCTCCACCCAAATTTCTTACAGCAGATGCTTCGTTTGGCATCCCCTCTCCCCCACCTCCTTGCAGCACGTCCCCATCAACAGGCCTTCTTGCTTGGCGGGTGGGGGGTGTCTAACTGCACCTGTGCGCCTCTGGTGCCACTTGAACTTGGCGGGTGCAGGTGGGACTGCAGTGCGGGCAACCTCTGCAGCTCCCCTGGCTGTTCGCCTCACAGTGGCCGCAGCTGAGAACGCGTGTCAGCTCCGCAATTCGCCTGGTGTCCCAGAGCTGGCCGGGAGTTCTCAGTGGCGTCACTGGATGCGCAGAATGTTCTGTGAGGAGGCTCCCTGGGTGACCCAGTGGCTTGTGCCCTGGTGGCCTCTCTTCACCCCTTGCATGGATTCAGGCCCCACAGCTCTGCTCCTGTCTCTAGATGTGGAACCCAAGTGCTTCGGCCAGCTCTGACACAGAGGTCGCTGTTGGTGCGGTGTGAGGGAACCTGGCACCCTCGCTTGGAGGGGTAACTGGGTGTGTCTGCGGTGCTGCCAGTCCACATGGCCTTGTTAGTGATGTTATTTGGGTCCTGGAGTGGTGGCTTCATTGGCTAATCTTCCCCCTTCAAACTCCAGGATCCCATCTGGGTGCCGGTTCTAATCCCGGCTGCTCCACTTCCCACCCAGCTCCCTGCTTGTGGCCTGGGTGGGAAAGCCCCTGCACCAGTGGGAGACCTGAAGAAGCTGCTGGCTTTGGATTAGCTCAGCTCAGGGCACCGTGGCCATGCAAGGAGTGAACCAGATGGAAGATCTTTCCGTTTCTCCTATTCTCTGTAAATCTTCCATTCAAATAGAAATAAAATCATAACATAATTTTGACTGGAAAGGGCGAGTCAGAAACAGGACTTGACTACCTGGGGCCCCAAAGGCCACAGCTGGTCATGTCTGGTGCTGCAGCCAGGGGGTCAGTAAGGCAGAGTTAGAGAGGAGAGACAGACAGCTGGCCTGTCCTGCAGTTGACTTCTCAGGCGGCTGCAACGGCTGCAGCCGAGTCAGTGTGACACCAGGAGCCAAGAGCGTCCTCGACCTCCCGCGAGGACTGCAGGAGCCCCGGTACCCAGGACACCCGTCATCGGCAAGCAGCCCTAACTCTGGCCTGCTAGCGCAAATGGATGCCACGGCAGAGCAGGTGGCTGACCCTGTGCGCCGCTGCAGTCCTGGCTCCTGTTGTGACCTGGTGCGGTGGCCGTGTCTGCCCAGGGCTGCAGTTCCTCTCACCCATCCTGTTCACGTGACCCCTGCAGTGCACCTCAGGGGCCCCACTGTCCCAGGAAGCTTCCCTCCTCCCAGGCCCCGCTGGGCGTGCATGCCCACCGTCCCTGCCACGGCGCCCCTGGCTCCCTCTGGAGGTCTGTGGTGATGGACGTGGTCTGTCCTTCCAGCTGAGTGTTTGTGTCAATCGGCTGGGGACTTGTCGGCTTATCCCTCCTCTGGAGAACTGACTGGGAGTGGGCCGTCTGTTCCTCCCGACGCGCCACTGTCCTCTGACAGCGATCGGTCCCTCCTGTTGCCTTGCCGTGGGGCTAGTGTGCTGCGTCTGCTGGCGTCCAGCGGTGCGTGTTCTCACCCCGTGTCTGTCTGCTGTGGCTCATGTCCCTTCTGGCTCTCAGATGGCGCTAGCGTTTGGACTTTGTTCTGTTTTCATTTAAAGGGATTACATGAGACGTGTTTTATTTTATTTGAAAGGCAGGGTGAGCCAGAGACAGAGCTCTTCCAGTGCTGATCCGCTCCCCGAATGCTTGCAACTTCCAGAGCTGGGCCAGGCTGAAGCCAGGAGCCAAAACACAGCCCAGTCCTGCCACGTGGTCGCAGGACCCGTGTGGGAGAGCCGTCTCCTGCTGCCTCTCGGCACGCATCTTGCAGGAAGCTGATTGGAAGTGGGGGCTGTGGCTCCGCATGTTCAGTGCCACCTGGGATGCCAGCACCTCAGTATGGCCTCTCTACTTACTTTCCAGCTCCCTGCTAAGGCAACTGGAAAAGCAGTGGGGATTGGCCCAAGTGTGGGTCCCACCTACACGGAGACCTGGAAGGCGGTCCTGGCTAGCGGCCGGCCTGGCTGGCCCAGCCCTGACCGTCACAGCCGTCCAAGGAGCGAACCAGCAGAGGGAAGAGTTCTCTCCCCGTGTGATAAAGAAATCTTAGCAGGAGAGAGAGAAGGGTGGAGGGGCTCGGTCCTTGGCGTTCTGATGGGGATACAGCTTCCCGTGAAGTCCTTCAGCCCGCAGTGCTGCGCCCTCCTGACTCTGGCTGCAGGAGTGAGCTCCCAGGCCCGGGCTGCTGATTTCTAGTGTCACCCGCTGTGGCCGCCTGCGCAGCGTGCACCGTGTCCACCCTGGGTTCACGGAGCCTCTGGTTGTGGCCATGGCCAGGGCTGCCCCGGGTTGAGGGGTCCTGTTCTCGGGGTCACTTCGGTCGGGGGACTGAGGCGCCCAAGCAGTGAGAACCTGCGGCCCCTATGCACCCCCTATGGAGGACAAGTTGGTCATGCTGTCCCATGTGCCCAGCCACCCAGCCAGCCCCTTGTGCCAGCCCTCTCAAGGCCTGTTGAGGCGGCCCCTCTCTCAGCCACTCACACCACGAACTCGCACAGTTACCCTTCTGTCTGTTGTGTTTCTGTAAGAGTCTCCAAGCGCAGTTCTATTTCAGGCACTGGGTTGATCTCTTCTGAGGAGCAAAATGGAAAAACACAAAAACCACGAGTCAGCATCTCTTCGTCTCACCAAAGGATGGACCAGCAGCCTGCATCTCCTCAACACACAGTTGCCATTGAGGAGGCTGCCGGGGGTTAGCTAGAGCTGTGCGTTCCCATCACATCAATGATGGCGCCCCCTGGCAGCGCCAGGAGCCCATGTGGGCAGCACTCAGGTCCAGAACCTGTGACCAGCACGTCCCTCAGGGGAGCACCTGCACCCCGAACCCTCTTCACTCCCTGAAGTCAGCATCAGCTTTCCAAGGAGGAAGCTTTGTAAGCAAACTAGAGTTCCTTAGCGCTCCTAACAGGGTGCAGTACCTGCGGCCCCTCACAGAGCGACCCTGCCCAGAGCCTGGCATGCTGGGAGAGGACGCTGAGAGTGCACACTGTCCTCCTCAGGTTCAAAGGAGGCCACATGCGGAGGGAAGGGACGGGTCCATGAGCGCCCACAGGGAGCGCAGGCTGAAGGGGTTCCCACCCGGCCCTTTGTTACCTGGGGCTTCCTGCTGGGTCTCCTTGGGGAGCCGCTCCCGCTGCCGCAGCGCCTCCAGGCCAGCCAGGTCGGGCGGGTGGCAGTGCCTGCGCATGACCATGACCCGGTGGCCCTGGGTGATGGCCCGGCTGCGGCAGCCCATGCGGGCCTGGTCCCGGCACATCCAGTACACCTTCTCGCCCGCCGCCTTCTCCTTCCTGTACAGGAACGACTCGTGCACCAGGAACCTGCCCCCGAGGGGCGTGCGCAGGAACTCCAGGGGCTCCGTGGGTTCTGAGAAGGGACAGTGGCAGTGAGCAGACACGTTTAGCCCTGGCCTGGGAGGACCAGGGACGCGTGCTGCCTCTGTGCCCCCAGCACCCTCGCCATACAGACTCCATGCTTTTGGGAAAGCTGGACCCTGCGGCCACGCACACCCCAACCTCCATGCAGGCCTTCCCCGACTGCTCAGATGCCATGTTGGAGTGCAGGGGCCAGGCATTCCGGGGAGACCTGGGCCACATCTGGCTCCCTGCCTATCCAGCCACTCCTCAGGGCCCCCGACTGTGGAACAGGCAGCCTGGATCTCAGGCCCTTGGTGCTGCCTGGCCATGCCCTTGCCGCACCTGGGCCTTCCCAGTGGGTCAGGTTGGGGAGGTTCTCCCGCTGCCGCAGGGACTCCAGGCCGGCCATGTCGGGTGGGTGGCAGTGCCTGCGCATGACCATGACCCGCTGGCCCTGGGTGATGGCCCGGCTGCGGCAGCCCATGCGGGCCTGGTCCCGGCAGGTCCAGTACACCTTCTCGCCCGCCGCCTTCTCCCGCCTGTACAGGAAGGACTCGTACACCAGGAAGCTGCCCCCCAACGGGGTCCGCAGGAACTCGGGGCCTCCTGTGGAAACCAGAGCATGGTCAGGTGGGTACAGGGAGGGGGTCGCACTGACTCCTAGAGGCAAGAGTGTGGCTGCAGGGTAACGCTCTCACGGCTGAAGCCCCAAGACGTGGCCAGGCCTGCAGCTGCGGGGGGCTCTCCAGCAAGTGGGATGGGGGTTAAGGACATGCCTGGGGAGACTCCCCCAATCCACAAAGCAAGAGAAGGTCAGAGACCAGGGCCCAGATGGGTTCCCAGGAAGGGGAGGGGAGGCTGCTCTGCACTGAGCTGAGAGTGAGGACACTGCCAGCTGGCTGGGGTGAGTGATGCAGGCACAGCAAAGGACCAAGGACACTGAGATGGGGCAGGGGCACAAGGACGAGACAGGAGTGTCCGACGTGAGAGCCAGCAGCCCCTCCACTCAGCTCAGGAGGCTCCACGGAGACCGGGGCACTGGGACTGCGGTCAGGACCCCTCTGCCAGGGCAGGCACCCCACATCACCTGCCTCCTGCACAGAACTTGTGGGTGGTCACTTCCTCTTGTTCCTCTCCAAGCCCCTCACAGACAGGAGGGAGCCTGGGGTGTCCCAGGCTGGGTGGAGCAGGAGGGAAGCAGATCCCCTCTAGTGCTCACAGGGGGAAGCGGTCCAGCAAGAAGGGGCTCCGGTGCCTGTGCTGCCATACCTGGGCTTTCCCGCTGGGTCGGGCTCGGCCGCTTCTCCCGCTGCCGCAGGGTCTCCAGGCCGGCCAGGTCGGGCGGGTGGCAGTGGCCACGCATCACAGTGACATGCCGGCCCTGGGTGATGGCCCGGCTGCGGCAGCCCATGCGGGCCTGGTCCCGGCAGGTCCAGTACACCTTCTCGCCCGCCGCCTTCTCCCGCCTGTACAGGAAGGACTCGTACACCAGGAAGCTGCCCCCCAGCGGGGTCCGCAGGAACTCGGGGCCTCCTGTGGAAACCAGGGCATGGTCAGGGGCCGCGCCAGGGCTGGGCCGGGCAGGCCGGGCTCGAGGTGGCGAGTCTGGGGGTGACTCACTGGGGTCGGCCTCCTGCTCCTCGTCCGGGGGGCCTTGGGGCTGGGCTGCTGGGGGCTCCTGATCTTTCACTTTTGCTCGTTTTCTGGGTCGAGGTCTGAGAGTGGGGATATCTGGCCTCGCATCTTGGGGTAGCGTGTCCTCGGAGCTGTCTGGCCCAGCTGGCGGCGTCTCCGTGGCCTTCTCCTGCTGCCGCCGGGCCTCGAGGCCCTCCATGTCGGGCGGGTGGCAATGGTCACGCATGATGGTTACGCGCCGGCCCTGTGTGATGGCCCGGCTGCGGCAGCCATGCAGTGTGTGGTCCCGGCACGTCCAGTACACCTTGTCCCCCACCGCCTTCTCCCGCTTGTAGAGAAAGGACTCGTGCACCAGGAAGCTGCCCCCGTAGCAGGTCCTCAGGAACTCCAGGGGCTCGGCCTGCTCTGGGAGCGGGATGCAGGCGGTCATGGCCACAGCCCAGCAGGCGCAGCCTCCTCAGACTCAGCCCGGGACCTTGTTTCTTGTGCGCCTTGCGTGGCCGACGCTGACCATGCCTGCCTGGACTCTTACCCCAAAACACCCAGTCCACCCCTGCTCCTCCCCACCCCGAAGCGACCTGAAGGGGGGGGGCCCACGCACAGCCTGTCCCTGCTGCCCCTGCTCACCTAGGCTGGGGAGTTCCCTTGCAAACTCCAGCAGTACCTACCTGTGGGACCGCAACCCCACAGTGAGAACAAGGCCCCCTCCCAGGACAGCGGCTGGCTCCCCGGACTGCCACCCTCAGCCAGCTTCCCAAGGCACCCCTGGACACCCCCTAGGCAGCCTTCCAACCTTAAGCAACACAGCATCACCTGAACCTATTACAGTCCCGACTTCCCCACACCTGGGTGCATCAGAAAGCTCTGGAAGGCCGCCTGCCGGCTGGACTGGGAACATGGGCCTAGTGTTGGACACACTGAGGTTTTGAAGTCAGGTCGGTCACCCGCACATCCCTCCCTGCACACAGCAGGCCATCCGTGCTCACCTACTCCGAATGGAGGCATCCGGGGCAGGAATTCTTCCGTCACCCGGGGCAGGTGTTCACCCAGCCCCAGCATCGAGCGTTTCTTGGGAGGCAGGAGCAGGGACAGGGCTCGGGGCGCCTCCTCAGGGGCCGGCTTGCTGAGCGCCTGCCCGGGATGCGGCTGTGGCTCCTCAGGACACAGCCAAGAGCCTCCGCCCTCAAGCGGCTCATCCACGGGGCCGCCAGAGCCATCCGGGGCCTCGGGCAGAGCAGGGCTGGGCAGCTTCTCCTGCTGGCGCCGAGCCTGCAGGCCCTCCTCATCGGGCAGGTGACAGTGGTCCCGCATAACTGTGGCCCTTGAGCCGCGGGTGATGGCCCGGCCCCGGCAGCCCAGCCCGGCATGCTGGCGGCACTTCCAGTACACCTTGTCGCCGACCGCCTTCTCCTGCTTGTACAGGAATGACTGCAACACCAGCAGACGGCCCCCAAACGGGGTCCTCAGGAACTCCAGGGGCTGGGGGGCTGTTGGGAAGGGGGTGGGGGTTAGTTGGCTAGGCAGGAACCTGTGATGGTGATGAAGCTATTGCAATGGTGCTGGGGTGGGAAGAGGTGAACTCGTGGCTGGGGTGGGCTGATTCCCGGGAGGGGCTGGGTGCACAGGCTCAGACTGCGCTGTGCACCAGCAGGGGGGTCGTCACCTGCTGGAAGAGGCGCACGCTGGGACCATGCTGGAGCTCGTACAAGGGCGGCTGGTCCCGGCAGCAGCCCGAGACCCCTCACCTGTGTCCAGCTTGCTGCATTTCAGCACAGGGGCGGGCTCCAGGCTGGCGGTCACACTTGTGCCCTCCTGCTCGCTGGGCTCAGGCAGGGGCATGCCGGGACCAGGGCCTGCCCTCAGGCCACCTCACCCCCGCACATGGATTCGCCTCCTGTGGGCCTGAGTCAAGGGAGAAAGGCCTGGGTGGAGGGGCGGCCTCAGCAGCTGGAGAGGGCCTGCCTGGTGCTGCTGTCTGCCAAACGGGCAGAGTTCTCGAGGCAGGAAGCTGTGGTGTAGATGCCACAGGCTGGCTGTACCTTCTCTGCCCTGCATGTCATCTGTCTTAAGCAGTATGGGACCACTGCAGACTGCAGCACCAGGACTCAGCCTTGGGGTGAAGGGCTTCCTGACTCACGTCCAGTCCTCGCCCATCAGGAAGCTCCAGCTGGTGGGGGGCCCTGGCTGTGCAGTGTGGGGGCCACAGCTACTACCTACCGCCCCGTCCCTTTGTAGTGTGGGTAGAGCTGCCGACTATGGCGCGGGCAGCTTCCTCACTGTTGGCCTGTCAACCCCGACCCAGGTTCTGTGGTCTGGGACCCACATTCACCCTTACCCATGCCCACCCTGGGTTTGAGAGGAAGCCCCGCCCCTATGGTGCCCAGTATTACCCACCACCCACCTGGTGAAGGCGCCTCCGAGAAGTCCCTTCCCACCAGGTCTTTGCGCTGCCCCAGGCCAGCAGCGACTGTCCACAGGGCAATACAGCCAGCCCTCCCACCGAGGTGCACGCAAAGGTCGGGGGCCGTGCGCACTGTCGAGCCTCCCCAGGAGGGTCTGTGTCCAAAAGGGGGGTCCTGCCCAGCACCCCAGCCCTCACCTCGAGGAGCCTCCTAGTGGCAGAATGTGTAACAGCTACAAATCCCCCAGCTGTGCAAGGGGAACCTCCACCAGCTCGAAGCTAGACTCGCCCCACGGCTTGCTGGACAGGAGCCCCCACTTTCCTCATCGGCCAGGGCACCCCCACAGGCAGGGGTCACCTTTATTTTTGAGAGGTAGAGTTCAGGGAGAGGGAGAATCTTCCATGTCTCCCATGTGGGTGCAGGGTCCCAAGCCATAGCAAGGAGCCAATAGGAAACCAAGTAGTTGGAACTTGAACTAGTGCCCATATGGGATGCCAACACAGCAGGCAGAAGGTTAATCTGAAATGCTACAGCGCCAGATCCACAGAGATCATCTCCCACCTTCTAGCCAGTACCCCTCCCTCTCCAGGTGGGCACATAAGATACCCACACACAGCTCTGACCGTGGCAAACCATCCTGAGCCGATGAAATCAGGTCAAACGTTAGCCAACAGAACGTGGCAGACAACCTGGCAGGTGACTCGGGGCTTTGGAGTTTTGGAGATTGACAGATACTGACGGAGAGCCGGGCAGCAGAGCAGTGTGCCAGCGGCATATGCGGGCAGCCCGTGGGCATCTCGGGCACAGGCCTGCAGCCCAGTGAGGGGCAGGGGCAGAGCGGCAGGAGCTGGGGCTTGGGGTGGGAGGGGAGTTGGTGTTTGTTGCAGGACGTTACACACTGGAAAGTGGCTGAACGCAGGCCGTGCCGTGGAGGTGAGGCCTCTCTCGGCAGCTCTGGGACAATCCCATGCCCAGCAGGAGCCCGCTGCTGCCGCCGCTGGAAGAGCAGTGGAGGCCAAGGTAATGAGTCCTTGACGGCCTTGTGAGAGACCAGGCCACAGCCTGGCCCAGTGCTGGCTGTTCCGAGCATTTGGGGAACAAGCCAACAGACAGAAGACGTCTCTCCAGCTGTCACTCTTTCAAATCTTTAAAAAAAATCTCATCGCACTGGAAGAAGCTCCTGTGATGAGCCACGTACCACCAGTGAGCGAGCTCTCCCAGGAACCCAGCTGCCTGCCGGCCAATCCACACCTCGTTGCCCCCCCCACTGTCCAGTGGAACCACAGCTGTGCTGTAGGACCTCGGCCCAGGCCTCACCACACGCCCCTGCCCACAGGCCCCGGCTGCAGCCTCATGCCCACACGCCCCTGCCCACAGGCCCCGGCTGCAGCCTCATGCCCACAGGCCCCGGCTGCAGCCTCATGCCCACACGCCCCTGCCCACAGGCCCCGGCTGCAGCCTCATGCCCACAGGCCCCGGCTGCAGCCTCATGCCCACACGCCCCTGCCCACAGGCCCCGGCTGCAGCCTCATGCCCACACGCCCCTGCCCACAGGCCCCGGCTGCAGCCTCATGCCCACACGCCCCTGCCCACAGGCCCCGGCTGCTGGCCCCTGCTCTTCATGGTCTCCACTGGGGCACTTGCCTACCTGTATCCTGAGAATTAAACGCTGTCTGTGGGCCCAGCGCGATGGTGTAGCAGTTAAAGTCCTCACCTTGTACACACCAGGATCCCATATGGGCACCAGTTCTAATCCTGGCAGACCCGCTTCCCATTCAGCTCCCTGCTGTGACCTGGGAAAGCAGTCGAGGATGGCCCAAAGCCTTGGGACCCTGCACCCGCGTGGGAGACCTGGAAGAGTTCCTGGCTTCAGATCAGCTCAGCTTCAGCCGTTGCGGCCTCTTGGGGAGTGAATCAGTGGACAGAAGGTCTTCCTCTCTGTCTCTCCTCCTCTCTGTATATCTGCCTTTCCAATAAAGATAAATAAATCTTTAAAAAATAAAAGAAACGGTCCCGCATTGTGGTGTGTAGGTAAAGCTGCTGCCTGCAGTGCTGGCAACCCACGTGGGCCCGGCACATGCAGCAGCTCCAGCCTCGGGAAGTCCGCCGCAGCAACGCCGCACATGGCCACAAGGTGGCGACACCGCGCCGTGACACATTCAGCGGGAGACCGGCTGTGGGCCGCTGGCCGGGCAGGCTCGGGGAGGCCTGTGGTCTAGTGGGTGTGCCAGTCAGCTCTCCCTTTCTCTCTGGCACTCTTTCAAATATATAATCCTTTTACTAAAAATTTAAAAGTTCTAATGTTCTCATTTTACAAAGTATTAATTCACAGGTAAATTACTATTAAAATTCAACCAATTTTTCTTAAAAAAAAAACTTGTTTATTTTTATTGGAAAGGTTGATTTGTAGAGAAAAGTAGTCAGAAGGATCTTTCATTTGCTAATTCACTCCCCAACTGGCTGCAACAGCTGGAGCTGAGCTGATCCAAAGCCAGGAGCCAGGAGGGCTCCCACGCGGGTGCAGAGTGCCAAGGCCCTGGGCCGTCCTCCACTGCTTTCCCCCCAGGCAGGGAGCTGGATGGGAAGTGGAGCTGCCAGGACATAGAACCCACACACATATGGGATGCTAGTGCTTGCAGACAGAGGATTAGCCAACTGAGCCACAGAGGTGACCCTCAGCAACCTTTTTTAGACATAATGAGTACAGGCTAGCACAGTGGCACAGCATGTTAAACTGCCACCTGTGTCAGTTCAAGTCCTGGCTGCTCCACTTCCACTCCAGCTCCTTGCTTACGGCCCATGTGCTTGACCCCAACACCTCCAGGGAGCCCTCCTTAGGTCCAAGGCTCCTGGCCCCACCCTGACCAGGCCACTTTGGAGTGCAGGAACAGACTCAACAATCTCAGCTCTCTCTTTGTATTTAACAATTCTTGAACTCAGTGAATCAAGTTTCTCTTACCAACGTGCCCAGCACAATGTTTCAATGGCTAAATTCTCACCTTGAACATGCTGGGGTCCCATATAGACACCGGTTCTAATCCCAGCTGCCCCACTTCCCTTCCAGCTCCCTGCCTGTGGCCTGGGAGAGCAGTCGAGGACGGCCCAAAGCTTTGGGAACCTGCACCCACGTGGGAGACCCGGAAGAAGTTCCTGGCTCCTGGATTTGGATCGGTGTAGCTCCAGCCATTGTGGCCGCTTGGGGAGTGAATCATCGGACGGAGGATCTTCCTCTCTGTCTCTCCTCCTCTCTGTAAATTTGACTTTCCAATAAAAATAAATCTTTTTTTTTTAAAGCACACACCGCGTGCTCTGAGGCCAGGACACACATCCATGTGCTGTACCTGAGGTTGGATCCAATATGGGCTGCCTGCTAAGAGTCCATTTCTCACTCGTGCTCGTGGGTCTTCAGCCCAGCCTGGCCTGGTCCACACCTGGTCACCAGGCCTGTGTGTGCTGGTGGGGACTGTGAAATGGCTGGGTGAAAAGAATTTTTTTTTTTTTTTTTTTTTTTTTTTTTTTTAAAGATTTATTTTTATTATTATTTTTTCATTGGAAAGGCAGATATACAGAGAGGAGAGACAGAGAGGAAGATCTTCCGTCCGATGATTCACTCCCCAAGTGAGCGCAACGGGCCGATACTATGCCGATCCGAAGCCAGGAGCCTCTTCCGGGTCTCCCACGCGGGTGCAGGTTCCCAAAGCTTTGGGCCGTCCTCTGCTGCTTTCCCAGGCCACAGGCAGGGAGCTGGAAGGGAAGCGGGGCTGCCGGGATTAGAACCGGCGCCCATATGGGATCCCGGGCGGCAAGGTGAGGACCTTTAACCACTTGCGCCACCGCGCCGGGCCCAAGAATTTTTTTTTTAAAGATTTATTGGGCCCGGCGCGGTGGCGCAAGTGGTTGGGGTCCTCGCCTTGCACGCCCAGGATCCCATATGGGTGCCGGCTCTAATCCCGGCAGCCCCGCTTCCCTTCCAGCTCTCTGCCTGTGGCCCGGGAAGGCAGTCGAGGACGGCCCAAAGCTTTGGGACCCTGCACCCACGTGGGAGACCCCGAAGAGGCTCCTGGCTTCGGATCGGCATAGTATTGGCCCGTTGCATTCACTTGGGGAGTGAATCATCGGATGGAAGATCTTCCTCTCTGTCTCTCCTCCTCTCCGTATATCTGACTTTCCAATAAATAAATAAATCTTATTATTTTTTTTAATTGGAAAGTCAAATTTATTGGAAAGTCAAATCTTTCATCGGACGAAAGATCTTCCTCTCTGTCTCTCCTTCTCTCTGTAAATTTGACTTTCCAATTAAAAAAAATAATAAGATTTATTTATTTATTGGAAAGTCAGATATACGGAGAGGAGGAGAGACAGAGAGGAAGATCTTCCATCCGATGATTCACTCCCCAAGTGAGCGCAATGGCCGATGCTATGCCGATCCGAAGTCCGGAACCAGGAGCTTCTCCCGGGTCTCCCACGCGGGTGCAGGGTCCCAAGGCTTTGGGCCGTCCTTGACTGCTTTCCCCGGGCACAATAGGGAGCTGGATGGG